TCTATTTCTTCCTGTTTGTTCGTTTTGAGGTATTTTGCCTTTGTTTTGTATATACACCTGTACAAAAATGCAAAAGTATTGTTTTCTTTGAAATACGGTTTTCATCTAATGTTGTGATTTTTGTATTTAGAGGTTTAACCCCCTAAATTACTTTTATTAAAAGCGCATGTCACACATTGACAAATGGTGTGTTGAACGTGCTGATGACAATAAAAGAAAAATCCCACAGCTTGTCCTGAAAATTATGCTTGTCTTTTTTCTCTTGCTCTATTTTTCATGGCAAATTGGATTATTAAATCATGCCAGATCAATGGCTTAAAGTTGCTTCTTGAAAATAACATTTGTTAATTCTCATGATGTGAACGTCATATTGTAACAGTTGGATGCTGACAACGGAGTTGAGGAATTACATGCAGTTTTTTATTTTATCAATCAGGCAGGCAATGGTCAAACAGGTAGCAAGCAGGAACATAAAGGTAATCCAAGATCATAGTCAAAAGCAGGCTTATGGTCAGTGCAGGCAACAAAAAAAATCTATATAAACAATAAATAATGATGGCTAACTTGAAACTGACGTTTCGAAACAGTATCGAGATTCTGAAGCGCAGGTGTTTCGAAACACTGCATTGAAGCATGATCTGAAACACCCAGGTCACGTGACTTGGGTGATTCAAAGCAATAGTCATTTCAGAAGCGTTTCGAGGCCTGGTGAATCTGCGTTTGGAAGACAGGTTCGGGGAAACTCTATTTCATGTAGCCTAGTGGGCCGTGCATGTGCACAGAGTACAAGCAGTGTAAATGGCCCGAGTTCGAATCCGGACCTGTACCAGTCCTCATAAATTATGATTTGATGTATTTTAATAATGTTACTTTTTATGAGCAAAACAAGACATATTTATACACAAAGTGTTCATGCGGATGTCAGATCAATGTTAAAAAAACACGTTACAAAACAGAGCATTTAAAAACTTCATTCTGGATTTGAACCCTTTATCTCTATATGCTATATCTATATCTATATCTCTCCTCTTTACTAAATCACTTAAAACCTTAACTCTACAACGTGTGGTTCAATACCTTAATTTGTTTTACTGTTTCTTTGCTGAAACTGTTCCAGAGTAATACGTTAAAAAATTGACCACTAGGTGTCACTGTAGAGACAGGTTTTGAAACTTTTCATTTGCTTCGACTGTTTTAGTGTTTCCTTGCTTTGTCCACCAGTGGGCAATGGTCAAACAGCTAGCAAACAGGAGCATAAAGGTAATGCAAGATCATAGTCAAAAACAGGCGAATGGTCAGTGCTGGTGGCAAATAATCAATATAAACCATAAAACAAGACAGGGATCAAAACACAGAAAGATTAGAAAGGAATAACACTTTTTCAGCAGTGTGTGTGTGTGTAATGAGAGCTGTTTATAAGGTCCTGGTAATCAGTTCATCATGAGCTTCCAGCTGTGTGTGAGTAATTATAGGGAATCAGGAACTGGTGTGTGTGTGTGAGGTGCATGATAGTATTTGTAGTCCACTACAGATTTTTGATTTATTACTTGTCTGCTTAAACGAGTCCAATCATTGTTTTGTAAAACAATCATGACTTTTTTTTTTAGTTAAAACAATATTGCATCTGACAGATTTTAAAGTGATATTACTTCATTTACTCCTTTTTCATTTACTACAAATGAAACACACCCAAACTTTGATGCAATATATTCATGTTTATCAATTCAACTCAGACCCAGATTGGTTGAGAAATGAGTGAAAGTCTCAAATAATGTTTATGATACCAATAGAGCTAAATTTAAAAAAAAAAAGGTATTTTTGACACCTCATGGTAATCCATGGGTACACTGATCCAAAGTGAACTGAAAATTATTTTTTAATGTTTATAGGAAATCTGAGAAAATGTATTAATGGTCTTCATATTTTTTCTGTAGTTTTCTGATCTTTGTAAAAAATTAGAAAACCTGAATTTCCCTTATACTGCCTTGGTTCTATTAGTTAAATTCTTCTCTGACTTCTAGAGAGTAGGTATATGGCTTAGGTAAGTTCAATCTTACCTTAGGTAAGTTCAATCCTCTAGAAATAGCATTATATGCTCATTTATTACTCCATGAATACCCCTAGAATCTGAAAGACCATATTGACCATATTTGGATCACCAAATGGCAGCCTGAGCCATTATAATTTACTTTTAATGTAAAATAAAAATGTGATGCCTTTTTGTACTGTTTTCTGAGCCCCTGCAACATTAGTGTCCTGTTCTTAGCTGACAGGAGTGTATGTAAACATTAAAGACATATAAGTGTCCAGCCAAAGGTGATCCACTGCATGGAATATATGCCAGAGTAATTGGTGGTTTATCTGCTGTGGTAACCCCTGATAAAATTCAGGGACTAAGCTGAAAGAAAATGAATGAATGAGTGTCCAAATAATAGATTTAGTTTTCCTTAAGGATTCATGTGTCAGATTAATTGCCTGTAGTCTCATAGCAATTGGTACTGCTTAATCAGTTCAAACTTGGATCAAAATTTAAATATGCATATGCAATGAATCACCTCATTATTATGGTACGGCATTGCTTAGTGCTTTATGCATACAGTCTGTTGCCATATGAAAGTCTAAAACAATGATTGCAAAGGAAGCAGGTGTGGCTAAAACAGGATTTGTTTTTGCTAATATCTATTCTGAGCTACTGTAAGTCACTATCAGTTTGCTGTAGTTACTTTGCTTTTGCTCGAGCATGACACTAAAGGTTAAATAGGCATTTAATAGATTATTAACGGAATATTTCACCCCAAAATTGATCTCCTCACCGTTTCCTCACACTCAAATGGCTCTAAACGTTTATGAATTTATTCTGTTGAACACAAAACAAGATATACTGAAGAATGTTTAGAAAAAGCAGCCATTTGACATACAAAGTAAAAACACAAAAATACTACATAAGTCAATGGCTGTTTTTTTTAACATTCTTCAGTATCTTCCTTTATGTTCAACTTAAACAAGTGGAGGATGAGTAAATGATGACAGCATTTGCCTTTTTGGGTGAACTATCTCTTTAAAAAGATTATTAGAGTCTTCTATAGTATGAAATGTGTGTGTAGATGTCAGCGTACTGTTGCTCTGTCTATAAAACCCAGCCCTCTGTTATCAATGCTACAATGACTGAGATCAGTCACACATTGGCAGAGAGTCTGATGACTGAGGAATGTTTTTCCACCTTCAGCAAACACACATCCTGTGAATCCCTAAACTGCCCTTGCTGTGCCAACACAAGTGGTTTAGTGCAGTTATACATCCAAATATGTCCAACATTTAACTTTCTCTTCTGACAATTCATCAGGGAAAGGCTTATCCACTTTATCAAGTCAAATATCAATGCTGATCAACTACTTGAATAGCAAATGCATTGTCATTTTTGTTATTATCGAAATAATTTTTTAAATATAAAATTTGCTTTTGCTAACCTTTCTTAGATCAGTTTTAGAGGGTTTTTTTTTTTTCATTTTTGTGTTCACCCACACACGTTAACCTATATATTGTACATTTTTGTGCTATATTACAGCCATATCACCTAGATATAGTACATGCATCTTAACCCTTTTAAGAAGTTTCATTGGTGTGGTTACCTCACGTCTTTAGCTTTCATATATCCTTCTAAATTACATAGTTTTGTCCGAAATTGAGATTTCTTTTTGTTTGTTTTTTTGACACGTCCATAGGCACATTCATGTTGATGAACAGAAATTCCTTCACATGTCTGGAACCACGGACACTGAAAAAGATTTATGCATGTCTGTGTCAAATGTAATTGGTTTGTTATTCACACAAGTTTTATTTTTAAACAGTTTTGAAAATGTAACCAGTTTCTTTCCTGTTTTCTGCTTTTATTCACTGCAGGTAACATTTAAAAAGAAAGATATTAATTATGTGGGTGTGTTTGCATGCATATACAGTTTTTGCATATATATACACATATATAAGTTTGTTTTTATGTATATTCTGACAAGCTTGTGTGTCAGTGATGGTTTTATTTTTTGTGACACTACACAATAAAAATTGAAAAAGAATATATATATATATGAAGAATAATACTTTTATACTTAAAAATGACAGTGGTGTTATTTAAACAAACTGTTACTTAAAGGTTTATATCCTAATATATACACACACACACACACACACACACAATCGGTCAAAAGTTTTGGGTCAGTTTTTTTCTTTTGAGACAATTATTCTGTTCATCAAGGCGGCAATTAATAAATGTATATATATATATATATATATATATATATATATATATATATATATATATATATATATATATATATATTTATATTAATAATTGCTTCTTATTGTATTTAGTTTTAAATGAAATTATTACTTCAGTCATTATTGCTTATATTACTATTACCAATAATACTAATAATAATAATAATTAATAATAATAATAATAATGATAATAATAATAATAACTAATAACTAATAATAACTAATAATAATAATAATAACTAATAATAGAGTGATTTCTGAAGGATCATGTGACTGGAGTATTGAAGCTGAAAATCACTGGAATAAATTACTGAATTAAATCATAAACTACTTTTGAATAGTAATTTTATAGTGCAATAACATTTCACAATTTTACAATTTGTACACTTTTTTTTCTATTAAGTAAATGCAGCCTTGGTGAGTAGAAGCTCGTTTTAAAACATTTAAAAATCGTACTGACCCCAAACTTTTGACCGATTGTGTATGTGTGGTAGTTTAGTTTGACAATACTAACCTTAACAGTAGTAACTTTGATATTTTGCCAATGAAATTACAATAAATGTTATATGGAATGTGTAGTTCAGGAAATGATTAACAAATAAGTGACTTTCGGGTCTGGATCTTGAGTGGGTGTGGGTGTTGATCGATAGGAGGAGACGGTGAGTCATTGGCTTAGTTCATTTAAAAAGGAAATCCCATAAAGAAAGATACACCTTTACACTCTACAACAACTAAGGTAAGACGCTGGTACTCTGTTATGATTCTTTACTGATTAGCCTGAAAATATCAACTGAATCAACTCCCTGCTGCAGTTTTAAGAATATTATTCATTTTGTTATTGCTGATTGCACGGCTTCTCATTTTAGTTCAGCATAATCTGCAGAAACAGTAGTGGTCTTGCTCTATGTGTGCATGTGTGGATGGGTTTACTGGTGTATGTATTGAGTGTGTGTTTGCTGGGTGTGACTGAACAAAAGTCCAGCAAACCTTTCACATTTCAGCTCATAATATAAATTTCAGAGAGACAAATAATGTCTTTTTAAAGGTATAGTTCACCCAAAAATGACAATTTACTCACAATTTACTCACCTTCAAGCAGTTCCGAACCTTTACGAATTTCTTTTTTCTGTTAAACACAAATGAAGATATTTTGAAAAATGTTTAAAAACTGGTAATCACAGACATCCATAGTAGGAAATAAGAATTATTATGGATGTCATTGATTACTGGTTTCCAAAATATCTTCTGTGTCAACCAGAATAAAGAAACTCAGGTGTGTGACTAGTGAAGGGTAAGTAAATGATGGGTTTTGGGTGAACTATCCCTTTAACCACTGTCCTGTTGCTAAGGGACAATAGTACAACAAAAAAGGTTGCTAGTCGGTCATATCTTAGTGACTCCCTTATGGGCCATAAACATGCTTATTGACTTGCATAACAGCCTGTGATGACACTGAACTGGGCCTTTATCTTCTCAGTCCTATTAATCACAGTGTCTATGACAACCATCAGTTAGACCTTTGAAACTAAGGGTGAGGTTTTATTTTACAGTGGCTTAAGGTCTGATTGTATCTCCTGTTTCATCTACTCATCCTTCACCTTGGTTGATTATAAGTGTTCTCTGTCCTCTGCAGGAAAATGGCTTTAGTGTCTGAGTATCTGTCGAAGCTCACACTGAGTTATGGAGGGGTAAGTATTCAAATGCCATTTTAAATAAGAAACAATTGCACTCAATGAATTACATATCTATCTATCTATCTATCTATCTATCTATCTATCTATCTATCTATCTATCTATCTATCTATCTATCTATCTATCTATCTATCTATCTATCTATCTATCTATCTATCTATCTATCTATCTATCTATCTATCTATCTATCTATCTATCTATCTATCTATCTATCTATCTATCTATCTATCTATCTATCTATCTATCTATCTATCTATCTACCTATCTTGTCTGTCTGTCTGTCTGTCTGTCTGTCTGTCTGTCTGTCTGTCTGTCTGTCTGTCTGTCCGTCCGTCCATAAGTTTATTTGCATGTTTGATAAAATGTAGTATTAACACAAATGCAACAAAGTACATATGAGTCCAAAATATATTCTTGTTCTAATCCAAGTATTATATATGTATCTATATCTATGTTATGTTTTCTCCCTCAGGAGAGAGAACCTAAGTGCCCTACAGTGGTGGCAGCTTATGATTTTAACCCAGAGGTGGATGCAGCCAAAATAGAGACCGCCATCAAAACCAAAGGTGCCAAACACATCTCATTTGCAGAGAAACCTGCACTATAATATTTTGAGTGGAACACATGCTTGATTTCGCAGTGGCATTTCAGAATGGTTAAACTGAACCATCTGAATTATTGTTTTTCTATTTGCTTGGCAAACACAATTCCCTTTGTTCTTCTGTTTGGCTTCATTGAACAGGATGTGCGGTCCTTTAAAGTGATAGTTCACCCGAAAATGTTAAATTCTGCCATTATTTACTCACCATTTGCTTGTTCCAAACCTTTCTTTCAATTGTTGAACACAAAATGCGTAATTTTGAAGAAAGCTGAAAACCTGTAACCATTGACTTCCATAAATGTTTTTCCTATCATGGATGTCAATTGTTACAGGTTTTTAGATGTTTTTTTTTTTAAATATATATCAAATATATTATTTTGTGTTCAACAGAAGAAAGAAACTCATAAAGGTTTGGAACCAATTGAGGGAGAGTAAATAGTGAGTATCTTTTTTATTTTTGGTGAACTATTCCTTTAAGACTCTCTGTTAAATAGGATTGTAAATAAAAACTGGCATCTTGCACGTATGTTAAATGCATGTATCATATTAGTTCTGGTTTAATATGCCGTTGAATAAAGTTGTGCATACAAGTGAGGGGGTGTGTGAGTGGAATTGTGCACTCAAATGTGTGCCAGTAGTGTTGGCATCAAATTAACTATTGATGACTGTTTAATGATTTTATACTAGGAAATAAAAAGGTGCTATTAGTCCTTCACACCCTTATCTTGATGTTCTCTGTCTTTCCTTGTCAGTCATTATCATCTTTCTCTCTTTTTTTGGCTGCATTTCTTCATTCAGGTGTTGACGAGCAGACAATCATTGACATTCTGACAAGACGCAGTTACTTACAAAGAAGCGATATTGCATTTGAGTATGAAAAGCGAGCAAAGAAGGTACAAAAATGTGTACTATTTGTTAAAATTGATAAGTTAAATAAAAAGTTCTGTATTTGAAAGTATGTTAATTAATGTTATATTATTATGTAAATGTACTTGTGTAAATAACCTGCTTCTGTTTGTTATGTAGGATTTAGTGAGCGCCCTGAAGGGGGCGCTCTCGGGATCACTGGAGCATCTGATTCTGGGTTTGATGAAGAGCACACCACAGTATGATGCTTTTGAACTAAAAGCATCAATGAAGGTACGTCTGCATTTATCTCATTTTCTTGATTTTTCTATTCTGATCATTCATTCGGATTTGTGCTGCTGTTGAAAAGTATGGGGTCCGAAAGGTTTCCTTTAATTTGTCAGAATTACATTAGAAATGGTCATTAAAAATACAATTTACAATCCTACATAACTTGTATAGATATTTAAATTTTACAATGGATGTCATGTAAAACTTCAGGAGTAATTCTAAATGATTCTGGATTGGAATATTTTTTCTTATTTATTTTCACAAATGAAAACAATTGTGTTGCTTAGCATTTTCAAGCAAACTGTGTTTCTTTACTGAAATAGACTGTCTGATCAGGTAGTCTATTCTGCCTATTTAATGACTAGCCTATTTTATTGTTTTGGACATCAACTAGATTTTCACTGACAGCCCAAATTTATTCAATTAAATGTGTTTTAACAAGTAAAAACATGTGTACTATTTGTTTTGTTATCCACTTTAAAAAATAATCTTGGTGAGTGGACTTGATCAACCACCTGTAGGACACATTCTCATCTCAGTGTGCACCAGACACTTTCTTATCAACACTAAAAAGACATATAGTATATTTAATAGCTTACACGTATCGTAACATTTATATTCTGCTACTCTCTGATGATTTCAATTCTTCTTTTATCCTAACTTGTAAATCGTTTTGGATAAAAGGGGAAATTTACAGCTTCACATAAAAAAATTATTGATTTGTGAGTTTATTTAGGATGCAACTTTATAAATAATCTGGAGACAGCTGAGACATATCTTACAGTAAAAGGACATAAGAAGATACCCTTTAAAATATTTCAGATGTCTTTTCTGTCTCTTTTGACATATGCAATTGATTTTTGATTAGCTGGTTGGGGCGTAGCTGGTAGGGGGAAAAGAGGACAGTGTACAAAGGCCTTGGCATTTTAGGGGCCCTGCGATGGTAAGCCCCCCCCAGCCACTAATGACTAGGGGGTTTCACTAACATTTTTTTGTGCATAGGGCCCAAAATATCTGGCAATGCCCCTGAATCAATGTATTAATTTTATTTAAAAATCGTTTTGACCTCAAACTTTTGAATAAGTGCAATTGTATATATTATTGTGAAGCTCATTAAATTGTTACACAATTGTTGCTTTAATGGTGGGAAAGAGTTAGTTGACATCTGTTGGAATTAGTTGGCTATACAAGTTGGCACTGTCGCTGACATACAGTTATGTTGATTAACTACATGGTGTTTTACAGGGTCTGGGTACTGATGAAGAGAGTCTGATTGAGATGGTGTGTTCCCGCAATAAAGAGGAGCTGGCGGAAATCAAGAAGGTTTACAAAGAAAGTGAGTGACACTGGGCTTTAGAAAACATAAAAACATGCAGACACTGGTATTCATTTATCTACTTGTTTTTCCCAGTGTTTAAGAAAGACTTGGAGAAAGATATTTCTGGAGACACATCTGGAGATTTCGCTAAGCTGCTCCTGGCCCTTGCACAGGTAGATCAAAAACTAATTTAAACAATAAATGCCATATAACAGTTTTTTTTTTTTATTGTAATCCTAATTAAAGTGATAATTCACCCAAATATTTAAAGCTGCAGTATGTGAGTTTGACACCCAGTGGTTTAATTAAGTATTGCATTGCTGGATCAAAACACATAGAAGCGTAGGTTGCCAGATTAAGGACCAACAGGAGCGTGCCTGACTATCGAGCCTAAACACTGATTAAAGGCTGATTTTATTTGTGTTCTCAATAAAAGCAAAGGCTCGCAATAGAAGGACTATTTTCATATTAAAAGAAGTTTTTGCCCAGTACCTGGAATTTAAATTTTAGAAACAGCTTCTATTTTTTGCAGCTGAACAACAGAAAGTTTGATGACATGAGCACTTCTGGTACACCTCATGCGCTTTATTTAGTGTTAAATGCTAACAATGTGAGTTTGACTTCCATGTTACATGACATTTAATGAAATACTACTGAAAGCAGCAGCAGATAGTTCACCTCAGATCTTGAAAATAAAAATAAAAAACATTTGAAGTATTAACTTTAGATCTGTAACTCAGTCCAACCCAACACATATTAGTGACTCAGCTTCTATATCTAATAATGTTAAAGAGGTTTTATATGTGTTAATTGGATTATAAACTTTAAAATTTTTGTGAGTAAGTGCATATTCGATGCTTCTGAATGGCTGTATTTAAATTTCTGTGGTATTTGGACTAGTGTAAACAGCCAAAGTGCTTATGCAAATCACGTGACTTAGTGTGTTGTTAGGACACAGGGTTACAATGTAGCCTGCTCACCTAATGTTTACGTTCATAATATTTATATTATTATTTATTTATTTATACAGGGACAATGTACAACATGTTGTGCCAGAGTTAGCTATAAAGCCAATTTACATCTGTTCTCCCTGCTTCTTAAGAACCTCATGTGGAACTCTGAATCTGCGTCTCATTTCACAGTCTGCTACTGTCTACCCGAGGTTGCATTTTCCAACAAGGCAACCCAGGGTGCTGAAAAAGGGATTGGTTAATGAACCAACACAAAGACAGCGTTCCGGCACATAACTCACATTTTCAAAGCAGAATAACTGACTTTTGTTTTACAGATAAACAAGTGTTTACTTGGCATGTTCCTTAAATATCTATTACAGTATTTTTCTGCTTTAGGAGAGTCAAAAACTTACATGCAGAACCATTTCTGTCATTATTTGCTCACACTCAAATGGTTCTAAACTTGAATAAATCTGATAATCTGTCTCATAAAAGAAGACTATTGACATCCATATTAGTCATTGACTTCATTTAGTATTTGTTCCTACTATGGAAGGCCATTTTCCAACATTCTTTAGTGTATATCTTTTTTATTCAAGAGAAAAAATGGTTTGGAAACATGAAGATTTGGGACCACTTTTTAATTTTTGCAACCAACATTTAGTTTTTTTGGCTGAACTATCCCTTTATATTCAACATTATAATAGACTGCTTCTTTGATTTACATTTTTTTTAAAAAAGGTTAGTGGTTGTAAACAATTTATTTGGGCTAAATCTAAACAAATACATTAAGTTAAACATTACTAAATTCAATTTGTTTGTATAAATTCAACCCATATAAATAGTTTGTATTAGTCACATGTCACATGTATTTATGTCCAAAGGGCAAGAGAGAGGAGCAGAGTAGCGTTGTGGACTATGAGAAGATTGATAATGATGCAAGAGTGAGTATCACTTTAATCTGAAGAAAACCAATCCATTTACTGTCACAGATGTCGAACATTTCTGCATGTTTACAATATTAATAAATTGTTGTGAATTGATATAATCCATGTTGAAAATTCTTGAATACAAAAACTATACTTTGTGAACTCTGTCAATTGTGTTCTAATTTAGACTCTTTATGAAACCGGAGTGAGGCGAAAAGGAACAGATGTGGTCACCTGGATCTCTATCTTCTCCGAGAGGAGTGTTTCACACTTGCAGAAAGGTGATACATGAACAGAGAGGCTTTTTAAAGTCAACAGTCATGATCATCTTTTAATCACAGCCTCTTTGTGTCAGTGTTTGAAAGGTACAAGAGGTACAGTCCATACGACATCAAGGAGAGCATTCGAATGGAGGTGAAAGGAGATCTGGAGAAATCCTTCCTCACACTAGGTACTGTATCTATCGGCTGTCTGTTCTTCACATAAGCTGTCAGAACTCTGGGATGTAGAGGTGCAGAGGTGAAAGATTTGATGATGGTTTCATCTGCTGGCTCAATTACTCTTTCACACTCTTACTCCCTCCATGGGAATCCATCTTCGTGTCTAATTAAGCTTGATCACAAGATGTTTAGTAAGGAAGTTTTTGTGGAAAGCATTAGGATAATGCATTAGATAGAAGCTTAAAAAGGTTTCGAACCAATTGAAGTTTTCCATTTTTTTAGTGAACTTTTTCTTTAAAGGGCACCTATTTACCCCTTTTACAAGATGTAAGATAAGCCTTTGGTGTCTTCAGAGTGTGTCTGTAAAGTTGCAGCTCAAAATACCCATCAGATTATTTGTTATAGCCTCCAGAATTTGCCCATTTTGGTGTCTTGAGTGTACTGTAACTGTTTTTGTGGCCTGTGTCTTTAAATGAAAATGAGCTGCTTCTCCCCACCCACCATTCCCATGTGCTTGTCTGCTTCTCATCATGCGTTACATTAGATAAACAGCAGTCAGTGATAGAGACAGAAATGAATGAAGCTGAAATACAGTTTATTAGTCAAAAATACCAAGTAAGTTCATTTCATGTATTTGTAGTGGAGTTTATTCAAGCCTTTCTGAAATGATGAGTCTCACACAAATTCTATTTGCAGTACACACACACACATACATATGTTCGCGTTTACTGACATCATTTGGCCGCGTTGATAATAGCGGTTAAGAAGTACATGGCGATTTTACTTTTAGTCTTTATTACAAACATACTCTGTTTTAAAAAGGTTTTAAACCTTTAAAAATCACAGAGAGTTGTAACAAATATTTTTTAATCCCAGTTTATTTACAAAAAATATATATACTTTGGATATGTGTACAGGTACACATGTTATTATAGAAACATGGCACCTGTCAATCAAGTCGGTAGAGGGGGATCATTGGGATTTGGGTCCTATTTTAACGTCAGGAAGTTTTAAAAACGAGACTCGGGACTTTGGGTTTATATCACTCGAATATAACAGTGGACGCACTATACATACACACGGTTCTGTCCAAACAGCTTTCAAAAGTTGATTTTCATCATCGGTGTCCTTTAAGTGTAATGTTTATGCATTTATCAGTTTTATAAATTATACTGATGGGAAAGTATATTTGGTGTGTGCATATGCTCATTGTTTTGTTCAAGATATTTTTGCCACTGTAAAAAATAAATGTTGTTAGTAGTAAGTATTTAAGAGCTGTATAAACAAATATATTAAGGCCTAATAAGAGTAGTATAAGTGCATCATTTGCATAAATGGTGAACTAAAATAAGAAATTAAGTTCTCTTAAAAATTATAGTATACTTAAAGTATAAAAACAACAGTCATTCACTGAAAATATACTCCAAATGTACATTTACCACTTAAAAATTAACTAGTAAACAATCAGTGAACTGCATATACTAGTATAGTAGATTGTAATAGTACTCAAAGTTTACTACTGTTTTGCTTTAAACATACTTTTATAAACTATACAAATGTATCCCATGTGATTAAATGCAAGAACACTGATATTAGTATACTTAAAAACAAATAGGCTTCTTGGATTTTACTTATAGGCTACTTGATAAATCTAACCTTAAGTATGCTTATTTTTTGTGGGTAGGAAACAGAGGACAGACTTCCGTATGGAAATCAGAGAAATGTTACCTTGCTTTGTACTTATTTCTGTCTTTCTGCAGTTGAATGCTTGGAAAATAAACATCTGTATTTCGCCAGCAGACTCAATGATGCCATGAAGGTGAGTTTAATGTAAAAAGGTGAAACTGGCTGAATCTGAGTAGTGCTGGTCAGTTTCTTCAGTGGAAATGTGTGTTTAAACTGGAGCTTTAATTTTTTTATCTTTGCAGGGTAAAAGTGTGAAAGACAAGATAATAACCCGCATCATTGTCTCTCGCTGTGAAGTGGATCTTATGAAGGTCCGCATAGAGTTCAAGAGGAATTTTGGAAGATCTCTGCACCAGACAATTTCAGTAAGTGTCCAGTTGTCTGTCTTTCTCATCTTTTCTTTTCTTTCTGCACTTCATTCTCTCTGTGTTTTTGTGTTTAGGAGCACACTAAGGGTGACTATCAGAGAGCTCTGCTGAATCTCGTGGGAGGAGATGATTAAACATAATCAATAATCATCTGCTGTATGTGTCTAGCAGTGAAGACCTTCCCAAACAACTCAATAAAAATGCAGTATTACTATGTTCATGCTTTGTTTCATCTTGTACCAGTATGATTTAAATTCCAATAATGGAATGCAAAATTAAGAATTATAATTGATATTATAATAAAAAAAAATTATAATATGTTTATATTAATAAAAAAACTATTGTAAGTACATGTGGTTTGAACTGTGATATGTATCCATTAGGTAAACCAATGACTCCCTTCTACCACTAGACGTCACTATAATTATACCGCCAACCTTATACTGTATATCCAACCAAGTGAACAAAAAGTACTATTATAAAAAGGGGGCCTACAGAGAGAGAAATAAAAACAAGAAAAATGAAACGAGAGGGCACATGAAAAGGAAATAAATAATAATGAACAATATTAAAAGGGTCTCCCTGCGTTTGCGTGGGTTTCTTCCGGGTGCTTCGGTTTCCCCCACCAGTCCAAAGACATGCAGTACAGGTGAATTGGGAAGGCTAAATTGTCCGTAGTGTATGGGTGTGTGTGTGTGTGTGTGTGTGTGTGTGTGTGTGTGTGTGTGTGTGTGTGTGTGTGTGTGTGTGTGTGTGTGTGTGTGTGTGTGTGTGTGTGTTTCCCAGAGATGAGTTGCGGCTGGAAGGGCATCCGCTGCGTAAAAACGTGCTGGATAAGTTTGTGGTTCATTCTGCTGTGGCGACCCCGGATTAATAAAGGGATTAAGCCGACAAGAAGATGAATGAATAAATGATTGTGGAAATCACTGGTGGGCAGAGTAAGGCTTAACCCTGAAAACCCTGAAACAGTTGAAGCAATTGATGCAACCCAAACAGGACTGAACTGCTTGTTTGAAAATTAAACCTGTGATCATATTTCTACACTATTGGCAACAGACAGTGGACCTTTGTTGTCTGCTAATTTTTGCCAAAATTCAACACCTTAAGAATTTGTTATGTATGCTCACTTTTCTGTGTTTATTATTTTAATTATTGTACAATGATATCTAGGTCAAAAGATCTCTTATTTCACTCATACCATGACTGATAGCATTTTCTGGATGATTTTTTTTTTTACATTTTTTTTTAACTACAAGGTGTTCAAGCTAAGTTCAAGAGGTCAAATCTTCTTTGCTTTATATGTTCTGCTTCTGATTAAGTATAAATACAGAGTATCCTTTAATTTTGGACATATCCAAAGTGTTCCAAAAACAGGTGTAGGACCTCCATTTGCAGCCAAAGCTTTAAATCGTCTTGGGAAAAATAGATACAAGTCCTGCACAGTGGCCCGAGGGGTTTTGAGCCATTCTGCTTGCAGAATAGTGGCCAGGTCTTCAGGTCGAAGAAAATGTTTCTTGACTCGCTCCTCCAAAACACCCCAATGTGGCTTAATAATATCTGGTGACTGTGCAGGCCGTGGAAGATATTCAACTTCACGTTCATCTGTCACCAGTTTTGCTGTGTGTAGTGGTGCATTATCACCCTGATACACGACACTGGCTTCAGGATACATTGTTTGACCCATTGGGTGCACATGATCCTCCGGAATGGTTTAGTAGTCTTTGGCATTGATGCGCCCATCTAGTACAAGTATTGGGCCCAAGGAATGTCATGAAATTGCAGTCAAAACTATTACTGATCTACCCCCATGCTTTTTGCTATGCCCCAAGATTTTTGCTGCTTGGCACCATTGAAGTTGATGTTTGGCCAAAGGTTTGGCTGTAGCAGTCCGGCCATGAATATTGACCCTGTGAAGCTCCAGATTAACAGTTTTGTTGGAAACAGGAGAGTATATGGGTGCACATTTAATTCTGCAGTGAGTTGGGTAGCTGTGGTTTTAAGTTTCTTGGATACAATACGGGTTGGCACCGGGTCATTTCTTTCAAACAGTTTCCTTAGTTATTCCTGTTAGATGGGGTTTGTCCTTGGTGGTATGCTGACATTAACCTAGATAACTTGGCTCTTGATCTATTACAAAGACTTGGTGTCTTTGTCACAGATGCACCAGCAAGACACACACCAACAGTTTTGTTCTCTTTTGAACTCTGGTATGTCACATAATGTGTGCATTGCATGTTTTAAGCAAAAGTATTACTATTACTACACAGGCAAAACTATTGCTATTACTCTGCTAATTAACCTTCACACTATCCTCTTACTGTTGGAGTGTGCAATCAATGAAGAATGGCCACCAGGCTGGTCAAATTTATCCATAACACCCCCAACACTAAGTTGGCCAGTGTTAAGTTTTATTGTCCAACCCTTATATGTTAAATCTTATGGTTTACAAAACGTTGACACTGAGAAAGCTTCCATGTGTGGCCAAAATTATGACCCTAAAAATAAAAAAATACCAGAAGAAACATGTCACATTGTGAAGAGAGTCAATGTGTATGGCTTTACTTATTCTCCTTGATTGATGGATATTTTTATCCAAACAAAAAATATGTTTACCCTACAGTGCTGTAAATCCTTATACACTTTCAGAAAAAAAAGGTATGTGAGCTGTCACTGGGGTGGTTCCTTTTCCTTGATAGTTATTGATACTTGATTGTACAAAAGTGTTCCTCTTAAAATTCTCAGGTACTAATATATTTGTTTGAGGTACCAATATGGACCCTTTAAGTACAACTGTGTACCTTCTGAAAAGGTATCATACCAGATTTATTGTAGTCAGACATCAGTTTTGTTCAATTTATTTTATGTAGAAATATACAAAACAAAAATGGAAAATATCTTAAAGAATTTAATATATTACCACTGAACAGAACTCACTTGTTTTATTGGAACATTGGATTTTATTTGAACCATTGGTATACACTTTTGAACAGCAGTAAGAAACAAAAACATAGAGTGAAAGCTTAATAATGGTTAATATTGGAGGTTGATTTTTTTTCTAAACACCATGACCATACATATTTGTTGATTACAGGTATCATATAGAGGATATATAGTATATGCAAAAGAAAAAAAATGTAGCAAAAAAAAGATTATGCAACATTCAAGTGTAAATCACTGTGGTATATCTTGGAGAGAAGGATATCATGGGGTCTTTTTTCAATTTTCAGCGATAAAAGAGAAGTACAGCTGCTTCAGTTATCTCTTTGGATGCACTCCATCCTGCATTAGTGCCATAACCGTCCCAGTCAAAACCTGCAAAGTCCCCACACTGTTTAGGGGACGCCTCAGGAAAGAATCCACCTCCGCCAACACAGAACTGCAAGAATATGAGTACATTACTAAAAATCCACTTTTTTCAAAATACATACCAGAAATAAAATTGCATATTGTATAAAAGCATTATATGGCACTTTTAAATAATAAAGAAAAGTCTTAACTCACATGTTCAGAGTTACAAGCAGTCGGTTTAACACCTGAGCAAAGAGCCAAGGCTGCTTTTTCAGTATTGAAGACTCTGAATGTGATGAATCCAGGGTCAAAGTTTGCTGGAAAAACAATTATTAAATTGAATTGGATTTTGTTGAGATGTGGTGATGCTTTTAAATAATATACCATCACCTAATCACGTACACTGTTACATGGTGTAGAAACTTTCTTAATATATATATATATATATATATATATATATATATATATATATATATATATATATATATATATATATATATATATATATATATATATATATATATATATATTTGAACTGTTAGATCAAGAGTAGTTCCCATACTTCTTGAATTGGGACCATACAGCAATTTGGTAGACTCTGTACTTCCAGTATCATACACGATTGGAACAGCAGGACCATTATCGACGTTGCAGGACCCTAATCCATACCTCACAGGGAATTTCTACAGAAAAAAAGTTCACAATAATTTGCCTGTAGTTTTGTGAGTGTGTCAAACTCCAGAACTGGCATCTAAAGTGTGTCTGACCTTGAACAAACTGAAAAGGTTTCCTCCATGTAGTGTTAGGAAGCGATTGTCAGTGTGGTATCTCAGGATGGAGGCAGTAGGCCAACGCTCCAACTCAATGTTATTAGGAACGTGCCACACAGACACATCCTGAGCCGGAATGTCGAAGTATCCAGGATTCTGTGACAGAAATGACACATCTAAACATCTGATGTATATTTATTTTCTTAATATACTGGCTGCTGTATGCTCGATTCTGATTGGCTGATGAACATTCTTAGTTGTGCATTTATTTTCAGATAAACACACAGCTAAATATTTCCAGGCTGGTCTTGACTACATTACAGTTTCAAATCACTGCGCTGAAAAATGTCAGTTATTTCACAGCTTACAGCATCCAAATATCAGAACAAAACAAAAGACTTTGGATGAGATGTCATTAAGTTTGATAACCAACTTTGCATTGACCACATCACCTTTATTGTTCATTATTTGCTAAACTAGAGAAAAGTAATAGTAATATATACCTTATAATCATCACTTGTGGAGGCCTCTACACTTCCAAATGTGACTGTATTTGCCCATGACCCTTCACCATTAGGCCTGTTTTGGTCACTGCCCTGCTCACTAGACCAGCGGTCACCAACTGTACACTTTCCGTACATGTTGTTTTCATGAACACTGGCCACCAGCGTCCAGCCACCACCTGCAGTGGTCATGTCACAGTATGTCTGGTAAAGGACTCCTTTTGAGGAGATCAGGTAGTACAGGCCATCTGTGTGAACAAAGCATTCCTCAGATTAATCATGCTGCTATATAAACAGTATATATATAATATGGAACATACCATCATAAGCCTGATACTTGTCATGAATTTCTTTGCAGCTTCGGGCAGCATATTTAATCCTGCCCTGAAGTTTTGCTATTTCAAGATTGGGGCTGTCATCACTGTTTTTGCTGCATGGTTTATCTTGGTTGTCCACTGCAGTATGAGACAATAAATACTTAAAAAGTAATTTTAAGATAAAGTTGATTTAATTCAAATATATTATTGCAAATTACTTACAAAATATGATGCTTGCAGCCTCACAGAGCAATAAATTGAGGGAGAGACTGAGAAAGATGCTGAAAAACATTCTGAAAAACAATCTGTGAATATAAAAAGAAAAATCATTCTCAGTTACACTAAACACTGCAAAATTGAAATTGTCATGTATTCTTTAAATATTGTTTATAAAAATTCACTTATTAAAAACATTCTTTTTTTTCATAAAGTTTATTTGTATTGTTCAAGAATTCTTACAGGTTTTTCTTTTTATCTTGTCTTGGGTTCCTCTCTTCTGAGTTCTGAGATCTGTTGATGCTTCAGGTTTCTAGATGAGTCCAAAAGTACTATCAAGACATAGTGAAGTTTGGCATTTATACATAATCAGATGCGGAACACGGAAAACAAAGGAGATATGATACTGACCTCTTGAACAAAGCTTGAACACCTTGTACCAAGTGAAAAATATGATTAGAGACAAAAAAAAAAGCTTAATTATAAAGAAAAAAAGTGATGGAATGAGTGAAATGAGGAACTTTTCACCTATCATTTTACAATAATAAAAAACACATAAGAGAAGACATACTCAAGACTTTCTTAAGGTGTGGGATTTTGGCTAAAAATCACTGACAATAAAAGTCCACTGTCAGTTGTCAATAATGAGGTGATTATATGAATAACAGATCAAGCAGAGATTAATTTTCACAAAGGCATCTTGCATTCAGTCAGCGTGGCAGATTTGTGTGACCAGAGAGCTTCTTGCAAAATTTATGTGGGGAAATCTTGCCATAATGCAACATTCTTGATTGTGTGCACTCCTGTTGAAATGACAGGATTTGTCCAAGAACATTCATTAAACTTTGTTATTTGAACAGATTGTCAGTTACATCAGTAAAAATTATTTTTTTATGAAGTTAACGGTTTTAAGCAGGTTTTGGATCTATACATTCCACTGAGACGTGTATATTACACGTGACTGATAGAATAAGGAAAGCTGTAGATGGTGGCAAATATTGTGGCATGGTCATGCTGGACCTCCAGAAGGCATTTGGTAATGTAGATCACACAATTGTAATATATAAATTAAATTTGTTTTTATTAGGAGTCCCTAAAGTGGGTTCAGTTCTATCTGGATAAGAAGCAAGAGAGTTGACATTACAGTTTTTTAGGATTGCTTACACACTAAAATTAAAAGTAGCACACTATTAGCAAAACCTTACACACAAGTATCAAAACATCAGCCCATATTTGCACAACTATAAGCACATTGTCAACTTAACACTTGTTGCAACACAGTGATTTTCAAAACACTAAACACACTTAACATACATTACACACTAAAATCTATCATGAAGTCACTTCATTGCAATACCAAAGCACGGACTGTCAAACTACTGCACCGTCCAACCAATTGGTTCAACACAGTCATCAGGTGTGCAAACACTTGTTTGATTTATTGTAGACACAACAATCAGGTGTTTAAGCACTGTAAAATGCCAGTTTCAATGAAAACCATCAGGTCTCAATATCAACACTGGCACACACCATAAAAAAAAAACATTTAAATGAAGCAAATTTATGGAGTGCCTTTAGAGCACAATTTCGAAAGGGTGAAAAGACTGGCATGATTATGCAGAGTTATGTATTCACTTGTGATCTTGCATACTGTCTCATAAACTTTTACTGTACTGTAATACTAGATCTACAATGAACTATACAATTTTGCCTGACACTGTTCTTCAGGTAGTTTTACGAATAGATGAAGAGGAGATCCAGCATGAGTTCATTTACGTAGATGATGGTGTGTTCAACCTGACGAGAACACGGAGTAGAAGAAATCATTGGCCACAGGGCTATAGTCAATGTCTCAGGGCAACATGGGGGAAATATGCAGTAACACTCTGTGCAGCCATTACAAAGAATGGGGTCCTCCACTGCCATGACCATATGGGCCCTTACTGTATAACACAGCACATATACTTACATTCTTGGACCAATTGCACAACATAACAGCAGCAAATCAAATCGGTCATACGCAATACATTGTTGTCTGGGACAATGTGTCTTTCCACCGTTCTGCTCTGGTTCAGAACTGGTTTCAGCAACATCCACATTTCACCGTCCTATATCTTCCAGCATACTCTCCATTCCTCAACCCTATAGAAGAGTTTTTCTCGGCATAGTGGTGGAAGGTATATGATCTCCGTCTTCAGGCTAAGGTACCCCTCATCCAAGCCATGGAGGAGGCCTGTGACCAAATGGAGGTAGCAGCAATACAAGATTCTACATTCAAGACACTTCTTTCCAAGGTGTCTTGCTAAGGACAACATTGCAATGTTGATAATTGCCAGATTCAGCTACGTGAAGAGACAGTGCTAACTTACAGTTCAATACGTAAAGTGACATGTTAGAGTACTTTGAATCTTCATGCCAACATGTTGGACATGTTGAGGAATAAATGAGTTTCTTCGGTGTGCAGCATTGTTCTTGAGTAGTGTTTGGTGAATTTACTTTATATTTGTACTTTGTTGATGGTAGCCTACTCTAATCATAGGGAAGTAGAAGTGCTAAAAGTGTTTTAGGTTTATCACAGAAGTGTGTAACTTGTGCAAACAGTGTATAGTAAATGTGAAAATGTGTATTTCTTATGCTAAAAAAGTGTGGTTTTTAAACATAAGTCTATAGTTTTTATAAGAGTGTTTAATTATGCAAAGGATCTGTAGTGTTTTGCTAATTGGGTGTGTGGTTGTGCTAATTGTGTGTACTGTTTTGAAAACACGGGCCCTGTTTTGAAAATCGTGCTTACAGTTTTTTACAATTGCTATGACACTTTTATCAATACATTTAACAAGTTTCCTAAACTCTTAACACAGTTAGCACAACATCCGTGGGCTATACAATTAACACATTTCTTGTTGTTTTGACACAAAATGCATCCAGTTAACACAAATTTAAAATGCTTTAACCTCTTTTACACACAAGCACAACCAAGAACAAAACAATGTAATTTTACAGTCAAATTTACAAATGCTTTAACACAGTATGTCAGAACAGATAACACCATGTTCTAAACAGAAATTATATAGGATAAGGTCAAAGTGAACAGCTGTTCTAATTGTGAATTCAAACACAAATATATTCCCTGTATTTTATTTACAATTGCCAATGCGAAACATCATATTGCGATTATATAAATAAATAAACAAATAAATGTATATACACACACACACACACACACACACACACACACACATATATATATATATATATATATATATATATATATATATATATATATATATATATATATATATATATATATCTAGAAAGCACACTCATGTCTTGTTTTGGTTTTTCCAATCACATGATCATATGTTCTAATAGAGGACTCTTGAGGTTTTTGAAAGGAACATCAAAGAACTCTGTCACCAATACGTCCATGTAAGATTATGCAATACAGTCATATACTGTACTATACAAAGTGTTTTGCAGTAAACTACTCTTTAAACCTGGAGTTCATTAGTACATACAGTACATATACAGTACAGCATTTGCATACACTGAGTCTAATTACTTTCAGAGAGTCATGAAGTTAGAGGCCAATCAAGTACCACATGAAATTTTCAATGTTGACAAGGCTGGGGATGTCGCCGTAGGAAAAACATAATTGCCACAGTTACCGTGCCGGGCCACAGAAGATATCAAGTATAATTTGGATGAGAACATGTGGCAAAAGACCGGGCAGAATAGAAGATTACTTTGTTATTTTATTATAATTGTGGTGCTTTTTCTGTTTGCAGTGATGTCCTTCTGCAAAAAAAAGTCTGTACTGCAGAAATTCTGTGTCTGTATTTATTTTTTTTTTTACATAAACTGTAAATTTTATAAAGCAATTTTTTTTTCTTCGTTTTGTATAGAATTTTTGCCGTAAATGAAAGAAAATGCATGCATTTACATAACCCAACGAAACAAAACTGTAACGAGACTTCAAATATAAGGGCAGAGCTGACACATAAACTAATGGAGTTTCTGTATTGGCAGCTGATGATAGTGTTTTTATTGTCAGTGTGTTCTGACTGACTGAATGTTTATTTTGGAAGAGAACATGTGTTTGTGTTTTGAACAATAATTTCATTTTGAAACATGATTGCAGTGTTTTGTTAGACATGATGTAGTGTGTTCGTTTATTATAGTATTTTGAAAAGTAGTTTAGAGGTTTAGTTTATAATGTGTGATTTTGAGCATGAAATTAACTGTTTTGCCAATTGTGTATTTTAGGTGTGTTGCTGCGTTAAGAGTTTAGCAAACTTGTTAAATGTATTGAAAAAAGTGTCATAGCCATTGTAAAAAACTGTAAGCAATCCAAAAAAACTGTAATTATATTCGATCTCGTCCCCCTATTATCAGTTGTGGAGTTCCACATATTGTAAGTCCAATATTATGAAAGATAAATTGCAAAATAATAATAAGTTCACTCAATTTGTTACTGATTTGCGAACACTCAGTGCTATCAATTTACAGTTTTTCTTGTTTGCTTTGACCTGGTTAAAGAAACTAGGTTCCACTTCATTTTCATTTTCACTATCCCAGCAGAGCAGAAGACCGGTCTTGCAAATGTGTAAACTCTTTCTCATTGGGTTGACACATTTTCCACACCATTTTTCAAAACAGCTAACACGGATGTCATTCAAGCAGTCCAAATTTCATTGTTTTAGTTATGGTAACCAAATAGAAACCATCTATTCCTAACCATTAGAAACTACCAACATCAATGTGAATTCACTGAAGCACCGGATTGACACTCCTTCACACAAATCTTCAATAAGCAATCAGTCTGCAAACCTTATAAAACGGTGGAAGGTCTGTGTTGTTCTGTGCCAGCATGGATGAAGGAGGTTAATAGTGGCTATGTCTTATACTCCCTATAGATTTGACTGTATATTGGTTTACATGTGTTTTCTTTAATATTTACACTATTTTATTACTTTTGTCTGTTTTTACAGTATTTCAGTTTTCATCCGCAGTTTGAAAATTGTCATGAATTCAATATAAATGTAATCAAAGCATTTCTTATTCTGGATGCAATTCTTTGCAAAAAGGCAAATTTGACAGCTCAAATAGAAAGACAACAAATGGCATTGGCAATAGGCTACAATGACAAGCAATGGTGGTGCACTGAGTTCTGTATTTTGTATTTTGTTGTCCGTTGTGTAATGATTAATTGAAAGAGCTCATATACCTGTTTGCAAGTTCTGTTGTTTGAAGGTAAAACTAGCTTTTGTTGCATATGTTAAATGTTTTGACACGGTATGTGCCTTTTGCAAGCAAAATGTGTAATTTTAACCATGA